CCTCCTCCTCCTCCTTCTCCCCCTCTTCCCCCTTCTCTTCCCTCTCCTCTTCTCTTCCCCGCTCTCCTCGTCCTCCCCCTTCTCGTCCTCCCCTCCTCCTCCTCTTTTTCTCCCTCCCTTCTCCTCCTCCTCTCCTCCTTTCTCCTCCTGTTTCTTCTCTTCTCTCAGGTTTGTTTATGAAACAGAACACTTCAATGGTGTAGCTGAACTGCTGGAAATATTAGGAAGGTGAGCACGGTTTTTCTAATTGCTAATTTCAGGTGAATGTTATTTTAAAAATTAGGTTCAGGTGGCACCAGGAGATGCTCACCTAGTTCTCTTGCTGTATGTACATTGGGTCTCTGTCATTTGTGCCTGTTAGCATATTTTCCAACTGACTGTACAAGACACAATTTCATTTCCCTTCTTCCACAATTGTGCATTGCCAGTTCCACTGGAATGACTGAAAGAGCCAACAGTTCATTCATTACTAGAAAGATGATACATCTAATTATGGTCGGGCCAGTTACTCCAAAACATCTTATTCTCATTAGTTTTTAGGCTATCTGGTCCTTTGCCTTATCTGTTGAAAGCAGGTTGATAATAATTGGAAAGATTGCCATTTTCAAAGGAGTTGTGTATCCGGGTATAGTCCTTGAACAGCTGCTGCTTGGAGTAGTGGAATGAATTGGAAAGAGCTGTGGTCTAAGTTTCTACACACAAGGAAGGATAATGTAGCTGGACAACGTGATTACCTAATCTTTTCTCCTAACATGAAGAGAAAAAGAAGGTGAAGTCACACAGCTTTCTCTCAGTGACTTTCCTAGGCTGGGCAGCGGTTTCAGGAATGAGAAGGAATGATACCTGGAAATGGAAAAGGTCATATTTAAGGCGGAAGCAAGCAAGGCGTGCCATTATTTGGAGAAGGAAAAGAGAGGGAAAATAAAGGGTTTTGATAAAGAACTTTTGGAAACCATCTGACTAATTTTAGGAGCACAGGAGCCTTTGTTGGGTGATCAGAAGCAAATTTTCTTCTCTTAAATTTCCTTCCAACTTATTGTATGCCTTGAAGTCATTGAGAAATCCTGGCTGGGTGTGGGGGCTCACGCCTATTATCCCAGCACTTTGGGAGGCCGAGGTGATCAGATCACTTGCTGCGGTTAAGAATTCTAGACCAGTCTGGACAACATGGTGAAACCCCGTCTCTACTAAAAATACAAAAAAATTAGCCAGGCATGGTGGTGGGTGCCTGTCACCCCAGCTACTCGGGAGGCTGAGCATGGGAATGGCTTGAATCCCAGAGGTGAAGGTTGCAGTGGGCTGAGATTGGGCCACTGCACTCCAGCCTGGGCAATAGAGCAAGACTCTATCTAAAAAAAGAAGAAAAGAAAAGAAATTCTGAATGCCACTGGGGTGGGTATTATGTTGTTTTGTACAAACAAACTGATTAAGTTTAACTAATATCACAAGAACAGTTTGTCTCAGTTTAACTTGTTGTGGTAACATTGCTAATTTGTGTCTCTTTTTCCTCCCTAGTATTATCAATGGCTTTGCTTTACCTCTTAAGGCAGAACACAAACAGTTTCTGGTGAAAGTATTGATCCCCTTACACACTGTCAGGAGCTTATCACTCTTCCATGCACAGGTAGGAGGATTTTGTACAACTACTTTTAGAAGCCAAATAAAAATTTTGCTAACTCATTGTTTTTTTTGATATTGATATAGCCTTTTTTTTTTTCTGAGATGGAGTCTCGCTCTGTTGCCCAGGCTGGAGTGCAGTGGCACAGTCTTAGCTCACTGCAGCCTCTGCCTCCCTGGTTCAAGCGATTCTTCTGCCTCAACCTCCCGAGTAGCTGTGACTACAGGCGTGCACCCCCACGCCTAGCTAATTTTTGTATTTTTAGTAGAGACGGGGTTTCACCATGTTGGCCAGGATGGTCTGCGTCTTCTGACCTCGTGATCCGCCCACCCTGGCCTCCCAAAGTGCTGGGATTACAGGTGTGAGCCACCGTGCCGGGCCTATAGCCTTCATTCCTAAAGGAAAGAGACTTATTAAAGTTTAAAATACTCCATGAGGGAAATAAAAATGTATGCTTTTTTTTCTATGCACAGTAGAATCTTGGAAATATTTTTAAAGTGGGAGGAGCCCTTGTTTGGTCATTTTATTTTACAGAGAACTTAGATGACTTGCCCAAGTGCACACAATAACATACTGAACATATTACATATAATAAAATGCACAGGAGCCTAGCAGATGTAGATCTTTGGACTATGTAATCATGTTTTAATGTTCTTGAATATTTTGTTCCATCCTATTTGCATTAGTCTATCAGTTGCCCTTTTTGCCTCCTGTTCTAGGTCACTCACCATGTCTTTATTACTTTCTACACATAAACACTCTCACAAGTAAACAAATCAGTCATTATTTTCACATTTTTTTCCCCTTTAAGCCTTCATCACTTTAAAAAGCATACACTGTCTTGTCCGCATTCTAATTTTTGTGCTAACACTGCCTTGCATGGTCAGTATGTCACTGGGGGTAGATAAATTATTGGGTAGTGTTTTAAATTTTGGATAGGAAAATTTTAAATACGACTAGACTCTGACTCCTTCTTACCCCCATTGGGAAGGTTTTGAGGTTGCATAAAAACGTAACACATTTTTCTAAGCACTGTTCCTCTTTAAATGTGAAATTCTGTATTTCGAGGAAAAATTAATCCATATGTTTCTAATTTAGAACACCATCAGAATGGTCTTTTGCAAGAGTGGTTTTCTTGTCCGAGAATCTTTGCAAGCCCTTTTACAAATCTTGCCTTTGGTTTTGAAATGGGATATCATATTTCATGATTATTATTTTAAACAATCTTAGTTAGATGCGTTAGTACCAGATGTAGAACTATTCTTCCATTTCTCCAGGTTCTGACTGGCGGGTACAATCTTTCATCTCCTCGTGAAACTGCTTTCGTTTGCATGTGCCATTTCAGGCAATTGGCAAAGTTTTTTATTAAGTGCTTATTTCCCATAGAGGACTCTTGTGGAACTACAGTAAAACTCAGTACTGTTGATATTAGCAAAGAGAGAAAGGAAGCCCCTGAGATGTAGCTCAAAGTGTATGTAGGTGAGATAATTCCACAATATGCTGAGTATGATGTCTCACCTCTGCTTTTCATTAGCTGCATACTTCATGTCCTAATACTTTTTTAAAAAAAAAATTCCCTGGAGCCATGTTAATATTAGTCTTTGGCTTGAAAAAGTAGTTTCTTATTTTGCTTTATATAGATTTTATTTTTATGATAATTAAAATGAATTGAATGTGAAGTTATTAAAACCAGTCTGGAAACCTTTTAGGAAGTTTTAATATTATATCTTTTGAGCCCTTACTGTATAGAATTTAAAATTTTGCCTTTTATTTTTTACTCAGCTGGCATATTGTATAGTACAGTTTCTGGAGAAAGATCCTTCACTCACAGAACCAGTAAGTCTTTCTTCCATAATTTCAAAAACTTCACAAAAATTACCTTTCCCAGAAATATATATGAAAAATTAAATGCCATTTGTTTTTCTCCTTTTCATTTTAGGTTATTAGGGGGTTAATGAAATTTTGGCCTAAAACATGTAGTCAAAAAGAGGTAAGTGTTTACTGTCAGAGTGTTCATAGTTTACTGAGTATTTTACTGAGTGCCAAGCATTGGGCTAAGCATGTATAAAACCACATCATCAGGGCCAAGCATGGTGGCTCACGCCTGTAATCCCAGCACTTTGGGAGGCCGAGGTGGGCAGATCACTTGAGGTTGGGAGTTCGAGACCAGCCTGACCAACATGGAGAAACCCCATCTCTACTAAAAATACAAAATTAGCCGGGCGTGGTGGCACATGCCTGTAATCTCAGCTACCCAGGAGGCTGAGGCAGGAGAATCGCTTGAATCTGGGAGGTGGAGGTTGCAGTGAGCCGAAATCGTACCATTGCACTCCAGCTTGGGCAATAAGAGTGAAACTCTGTCTCAAAAACAAGACAAAACAAGCAAAACACAACAAAACAGCATCATCTCATTTAAACCTCATTGTAACTCTATAAGGCAGTGCTGTCAAAACTCTTGTTTTACTAGTTTTGAAACTGTTAGGTTAAATAGCCTGCCCCAGTACACTAAGTAAGTACAGATGATTAGGCCCGAACTCGCCTGCTTAACTCCTGAACCCTGGCTTTTTATTCACTGTGCTATTCAGCCTCAGGTAAGGCCAGGCCAGGCCCCAATCGTGTGTCTAGTTGTCTAGCTTTGTTGATGTTCCCTTCCTAGTGGCCCCGTTCATAATATGAAGGTTTTGCTGTCACTGTAGAAAGATGCTAGAGCAGCCTGCCCAAATACTCACTTTAAAGCATAGTATAGCTGGATCTTACTGTGTCATCTTAGGATAGACAACAGACCTTTAGTTTCAACCATTCACAAATTACCCTGGAGGATTGGGACCTACAATCATTTGTACCTTTGCTGAGAACTCACCAGGCAGGTGCTACTTTGTAAGGTTGCTTTAGGGTAGTGCGTGAGTTTCTTAGCTGGAGGTGAGCCTAACTGAGCACCAGATCTGCAGCCACTCTTCTGGCAGGTTAGCAACCATGTGGAGAATGGCTCAGAAAAAAAGATCAGCTGTTAGTTTTATATTTGGTTAAAATTTTGGAAGAAATTCCATTTACATATTAACAAATGGCAAGGGTCTACTATATTTTACTTTTAGCAGAAATACCTTCCTTCTCAAATCAGCTTCAATTCTCCAAACCCTATTTTAATTTCAGAAAGTCATTTAATTAAAATCTGTTAGGTAAAATTGAACTGTGCATTGCTACCCAGATACATTTCAAAATATGAAGGCATTGTTATTTTTCATACTTTGATTGCTCACTTTATTTTTTTTTCAAAGTAATTTTTTTTTATAGCTACATACATAAACTGGTTTTTATTTCTCTGTCATTTTCCCATTATATTTAAAACAATTGACTCTACTGTGGATTTGGCTCCATACTGTGATCTAAAAACTCTGTTTCTTGCGGCACCCGGTGCTGAGTTCACAAGATTCACTCTGCTCTGTAGAGAGCAAGCGTGCGTGCGTGCGTGTGTGTGTGTCTAGAATGCGTCAGTGCGTGCTCATGGGTTTAAAGTGGCACCTGCATGTGGGTGAGTCTGCTCATTTGTGTTTCTTGAACTTTTTGTTGTATTAATGAGTGCGTTCTAGAGCATCAAGCATGTAGCAAGGGGCTATAAGTATTTGGCAAATGACCACATTTGAACTTTTGCTCTTCCATGTAGGAGGGCTACCTTCTCATTGTTTAAAAGAAAACAAAAAAAGTGTTGTGGAAAGAGAGCTGGGTTACTGGTAATAGAGAGGAAAACCCTACGGGGTCAGTTTTGCTTCTCAGGGGCCGGCGCAGTGTGTGAGTGTCCCTCGTTCTGTGTAACATACGTAATAAGTAAGAGTATTTTTTCCAAGTATGTAGAATTTTTCCAAGTACCCTGTGGTGAATTCTTTGTGGAACAAACATCTTCTAACATGGGATAATGCCTAGTTCATTTATGTTTGGTGTTATGTGTAAATTTTTCTTACAGTAGTCCAAACTCTCATTAGTCCTCCTTGTTCTTACGGATTTTTTTGTGTGACATGCCTCACATCTTGTGTTTTGCTTGTACTTACAGGTCATGTTCCTTGGGGAACTGGAAGAAATATTGGATGTGATTGAACCTTCACAATTTGTTAAAATCCAAGAACCTTTGTTTAAACAAATCGCCAAGTGTGTATCTAGCCCCCATTTTCAGGTTAGTAGTAAAGAGGACATGAGCCAGGGAGCATGAGTTATTTTGGTTAAATTTTATTTGTTTCAAAAGCAATGTAATGGACACTAGCTACCTCTTGTTTATTTGCTATCTCCTCACAGGATAATAATTTTAACAGTGGCCACCTTATCTTGAGCGCTTGATACCTAACAGCCACAGTAATGGTGCTTTCTTTCCAGTAGCTTTAATTCTCCTAACACCCTGCAAGGAGGGCATTATGGTTTTTTATAGACATGCAGATATGAACACTGAAGCTCAAACTGGTCAAAAGTATTTCAGATAATTCCTAAATAAGTGGGCTGGTGGGGTTTCTCTACTGTGTAAGAGAGAATGCTAAATAATGTTTAAGAGGAAAAAGGAGAAAACGTAATATTCCATACTATGCTAGATACTTTACATACATTGTTTATAAATGTCCCATTATCCGCTGAAGCTTTTCTAGATGGGAAAAAAAAAAAAAAAGAGGCTCGGAGAGCAATTTACTGTAGGTCCCAAGTCGATAGAGAGTAGAGTCAAATTTTGATCTTTGGTGTAGCTGCTTGCTAAAGCCAGTGACCTTCCCGTGACACTGCTCTGCCTCCTCGTGGCCACTCAGGGGCAACGCTTTTCTTTCTTGGGGCCATGGCTGCTGTGCTGTGGAACCCATACGGGAGGGAAGAAGGGTAAACTGGGGGAGCACACATTAGGTTTGATCCTTTGGCTGTCTCACCTAAGGCCCGTTTCATAAACTTAGACTCTGCCTATTGATTGGAAGAGATTGTTCAGAGTGTGGTTCTTAGCACAGAACCAGACCTCTAATGGTGTCATTTGATGGTGGACTTTTTCCCTAAGCTGTCATTATGCTGCATAGTTAGAGACACTGGCTGCTGCTGCTGTTTTGATTTCTGACCAAAAGACATGTTAATATGTTAAAGCAGTAACCTTATGGCAATCCAGCAGTTGTACCACAAAGCAAGAAAAAAGAAGGTAGAAACTGTGACAAGCCTGAATAAAAATGGAAAAATTACAGAACGGTATATAGATATTTTGATACCACCCAGGGCCTTTAGTGCTCACATATCTGGATTGTTTGCCTTAGTTTTTTTCTTTTTTCAGCAGGATGTTTGGCATTATGGAGGTCAAGGAACAAGTATCTTTTTTTTTTTTTTGAGGCAGAGTCTCACTTTGTTGCCCAGGCTGGAGTGCAGTGGTGCGGTCTCGGCTCACTGCAAGCTCCGCCTCCCGGGAAACAAGTATCTTTTAAAAAATGAGCATCACCAGCCGGGCGCAGTGGCTCATGCCTGTGATCCCAGCACTTCAGGAGGCTGAGGCGGGTGGATCATGAGGTCAGGAGTTTGAGACCAGCCTGGCCAACATGGTGAAACCCGGTCTCTACTAAAAATACAAAAATTTAGCTGGGCGTGGTAGCGGGCGCCTGTAATCCCTACTACTTAGGAAGCTGTGGCAGGAGAATCACTTGAAACCGGAAGGCAGAGATTGCAGTGAGCCAAGATTACGCCATTGTACTCCAGCCTGGGCAACAAGAGCGAAACTCCATCTTAAAAAAAAAAAAAAAAAAAAAAACCTCACCAGAAAGGCCTAAGTGATACCCAGAAGCTTAGAAAAGAGAGGCCATATCTTGGTCAGCTTGGGCTGCCATAACATAACACCATAGACTGGCGACGTAAACATGTATTTTCTCACAGCCCTGGAGGCCAGAAGTTTGAGATCAGGATGATAGCATGGTTGGTTTCTGGTGAGATCCTGCTTTCTGGCATGCAGATGACCCTCTTCTTGCTGTGCGCTCATGTGGCCTTTCCTGGCGTGTGCATACAGAGAGAGGCAGTCTCACTCTCTTCCTCTTCTTATAAGACCCCCAGTCTTATTTGGTTAGGACCCCACCCTCATGAGCTCGTGTAACCTTAATTACCTCCTAAAAGTCATGTGTCCAAATACAGTCATGTTGGGGGTTAGGACTTCAACATATGAATTGTGAAGGGCACACAATTCAATTTGTAGCAGAAAGAAAAAAGAATTTTCAATTATTTGGCAGAAGTAAAATTGAGAACAAAGGAAAGAGGCTCTTATTTATTTCTTAAGTGTTCATTAATAAATGTTTACTGGATAAACCAACAAATACATTAATAAATGTTTGCTGGTTCATCCATAAACATTTATTAATGAATTTGCTGGTTCATCCATTTATTGAGTGGCCGCCCTATGTAGCCAGACACTTCTCATTGTTTGCCTCAGGTATGTCATTAGGATCTGAGGTCTGCATGCTGGTGACACTGCCTCTGTGTGTGCAGAAGGACAATGGATCCCAGGAAAGTAGTGGCTCTGTCCTATTGTCAGACACAGTAATTTTTAACTTTGCATAAACAATACCTTTCCTCTTTAAGGAGCTGGATACATACTTCTGTTAGTGGGTTTACATATTAAAATGGATATATAAGAGATTAAGAAAGTTGTTAGAGTTAAATGGCAGGTAAGTATTGGACTCTGGAGGAACATCCAAAGAGACCATGGGAGGATGCTAGTAAAGAAGGAGGCACCTAGGATTTTCCTCCAACCAGTTAGAATGTTCAGAACAGCCTCATTCTTACTCTTTTTTTCTCCCTCTCCTTGCCTCCTGCTTTATCTGCATCAGCTACCTCATTTGCTTTGATGATTCCCAAACACATTGTCCTCATCCATGCCTCTGCCTTCCTTTCCTTAATACTCTCTACCTGGAATGCCCTTTCCTTCATCCTTCGAAGCCCAGCTTAAATGCCACTTGCCTATGTTACATTTCTTTTTTTTTTTTTTTGAGACGGAGTCTTGCCGTGTCACCCAGGCTGGAGTGCAGTGGTGCAGTTGTAGTTCACTGCAGCATCTGCCTCCCGGGTTCAAGCGATTCTTGTGCCTCAGCTTCCCAAGTAGCTGGGACCACAGGTGCGCCCCACCATGTGCAGCTAATTTTTATGTTTTTAGTAGAGATGGGGGTTTTGCCATGTTGGCCAGACTGGTCTTGAACTCCTGACCTCAAATGATCCACCCACCTTGGCATCCCAAAGTGCTGGGATTACAGGCGTGAGCCACCACACTCAGCCCCACCTATGTTACATTTCTGCCACTCTTCTGTTTCCCAAGTCATCTGGATTATTGATTCTACTCTTTTCCCCTCCTTCGCCTGACACTTTATTCATGTATCTGATATAGCATGTGTCACAGTTTACTTTGGATAGGCTTGTAGATGCCCCTTCTCCCACCAGCGTGTGAACTCTTTACGGATAACAGAGTAAAGAGGTTAAGAATAGGGACTTTGGAATCTGCCACTTACTAGCCATGTGACCTTGAGCCAATGGCTTATCTCTCTGAGTCTCAGATTCTTCATCCACAAAATAGAAAAGTAATGGTACCAACTCTGTTGGTTGTGAGGAAATGAGATATTATAGATGTGGGACACTTAGCACAGCACGTGGCATATAGTGAACATGCAGTAATGATTGTTTTCTTTGTACTCTCAGGGTCTAGTGCCTAATGAGTCCCAGAGTTTGGTTTTATTTTGTTTTTTTGAACCAAGCTGAATAATATAAATGGAAAAATTCTGATTTCTCAGTGTCTTCCGGTAGATACATCTTATACCATTTTGTTCTCTTCTAAAACACAGCTTCTTAATCTGTATAAATGAAAGAAGCCACCCCTTTTTCCCTTTTCCCCTATAACTGCCCTTTTTAGAGATTTTAGGTTTTGTTTTTGAGATGTTCCTTTGAATTCATGAAATCCAAGATGAGCCAATCAGGCCCAGCAGACCAAATTAGAGCCAGTTGATAGCTTGGTGGGCAGAGAAAAGGGATCTAAGAGATCTGAGAGGGTAGGTGCAGCCAGTGTCCCTGAGACCAGAAACTGAGCAGAAATCTCCTGGCTTTCACAGGAAGGGACCAGAAACACTGGAAGAAGCCCTAGAAGTGAGGCCCCAGTCTTTACCATTTATTACCAGTGTAACCTTGCCTATATTATTCCGCCTCTCTGAATCTCTGTGTCCTCATCTGTAAAATGAACACAGTGGTATCTCCTTTTGGGATGGTGGTAAGGATGATACATTCTACTTGCCGTGTAGGCACAGTGCCTGCCCATAGGAGGCACTTAGTAAATATTGGCTGCTTTACAGGGATGGACAACTGTGGGTGTTCCTCAGTAGCTGTGACTGAATGCTAACTATATGCTGGGCACTGGGTTCGATCTAAGTGTGTGTAATGAAAAACGTGAGCCAGGAAGGGGGACCAGTAAGATGTGCTAAAGTGATGTCAGGAAAGTGTGGAATCAGATGACCTGGCAGAATTAGAGAAGAATATAAACAAACAGGAAAACTTCTTTTCCTTCCCTGAGTTGATGAACCACTTGAACCACTCTGGATTTTTTTTTTGGGTAGGAGGGGAAGACAGGGTCTTGCTCTGTCACCCAAGCTGGAGTTCAGTGGCATAATCTTGGCTCACTGCAACCTCTGCCTCCTAGGCTCAAGCAATCCTCCCACCTCAGCCTCCCAAGTAGGTGGGACTATAGGCACATGCCACCAATCCTGGCTAATTTTTGTGTTTTTGTAGAGGCAAGGTCTCCCCATGTTGCCCAGGCTGGTCTCAGACTCTTGGGCTTAAGCGATCTGCCTACCTCAGCCTCCCAAAGTGCTGGGATTACAGGCGTGAGCCACCGTGCCTGGCCCACTTTGGAATTTTCTAAGACATTTAAAATCCGCAAACATTTAAAATGTGGGCCGGGCACGGTGGCTCACGCCTGTAATCCCAACACTTTGGGAGGTTGAAGTGGGCGGATCACAAGGTCAGGAGATCGAGACCATCCTGGCCAACATGGTGAAATCCCATCTCTACTAAAAATACAAAAATTAGCTAGGCTTAGTGGCGCGTGCCTGTTGTCCCAGCTACTCGGGAGGCTGAGGCAGGAGAATCGCTTGAACCCAAGAGGCAGAGGTTGCAGTGAGCTGAGATCGCACCACTAGTGAGACTCCATCTCAAAAAAAAAAAATTAACATGTGATTAATATTTAATTTTAATGGAATGATTTAAAAATGGCCTTTTAAAAATCTTTTGTTTGGAAATATTTATAAGTTTGTTTTATCTTTGTCTTTTTCTCTCTCTTAACATTTTATTTTTCTTTTCCCAAAGGTGGCAGAAAGAGCACTCTATTATTGGAATAATGAATACATCATGAGTTTGATAGAAGAAAACTCTAACGTCATCCTTCCCATCATGTTTTCCAGCCTTTATAGGATTTCAAAAGAACATTGGAATCCGTAGGTTTTCAGTTTCTTTCCTCTGTTCTCTTCGTCCCTTCCTCTCTTTCTTTCCCTTCAGCCTTATTATGTGCCAGATGCTGTCCTTGTTGCTGAAGACGTATGTGAAAAGATAAAATCCTTACCTTCTGGGGATTCACTGACTGGAGAAAATAAACAGATACTTTAACAAAATACCAGTCAAAGTATCTGTTTACTAGACAGTCTTCTTGATCTGTCTGTGAAGGTAGCAGATCTTTTGGGGAGGCACTGCAGCTGAGAGGAGAGGTGTGTAGATACTGACGGCATGGCCATGCTTAGACTGAATCTGAAAGGAAATTGGCAGGTGGATGGCATGGGGAGAGCCCTTTCAGACGGTGGGTCCATCCATCATATTAAAAGTCACAAAGATGTCAAAAGCACCTGTCAGTTTCTGAGACCTGTGAGTTTGGGAGGGCTGAGGCACAAAGTCTTTTGGGGAGGGTGCTAGAGGATGTGGCTAGAAAAGATTGTGGGACTCGTGTGAACCTTCACCAAGTAGATGATGAGAAAGTACTGAAGGGTTGTAAGTGGGGAAGTGGTCTGACTAGGTTTGCGTTTTAGTGTGATCTGTTTCTTAACAGCTAACTCAGTTGCTATATGTATCTCTTGGAAAGGAATAAGTTTAAAATAATCAAGGAGAAGTTTAACATCCAGCCCGATGAAAGTTAAAGCATTCTGAATTTGAATGCCTTTACATTTTTCTCTGTGGAATAGAAGGAAAATTTAATGTGGCATTTAAAAATTGGTAGATACAATTCAGTATATTAATAATATGTTTATCTTTAAACATTTTGCATGTAATTATAATATGTCACATTTCTCATTTTTCAAATTTGCCAAATTTTATTAATAGAACTTGTAAAAATAAGGAGCTGGTGGTAACAGTTAAGTCCCTTTATACAGACAGTCCCTTGAGGACGTTCTAGCAAGTGTCTGTAACTACTCAGTGTACTATATTTGGTGCTTTCCCATCACTGCCCTTGGGAGGAAGGTCATTCTGGAACCTTAACAGAAAAGAACTTAAATTTTCCTTTTAATGGCACAAGGCAGAAGCTACACAGCAAGTGTACTTTCTTGTAAATGTTTTGGAAACATCAGACTCATGGTTTATTTAATATATGGCTAATTTTTACCAATGCCTTTTTCAGTGATATTAGGAGCATGTTTGTTGCAAAACGGAAGCAACGGATATTTTTGCAAAAGGAAAAGCTATTTAGACTCTAGTCTGAAGCTATCAAGCCCATCAGAACCTTGTCCTCACATTGCCTAAGTATGGGCTACCATTTTGGCTGTTTAGCTGTTTAGTGTCCCATAGCTAATAGCAACCATCCCAGCTTGCCAGTTATCTTATCAGCATATATTTTGGGTCAGCAGGACTGGTGCAGATCACAGCTAGACAAATAACTCATGTTGAACCACCCAACGTACATGGGGGCTTGATTTCATTTCTGTGGATAAGAATTATATGTATATATATATACACACACACACACACACACACATATATACACACACACACATTTATATATAACATTCGTTTCTATGGAAGTAGCTTCTGATTTTGATGAATTATGTGTTATTTAGAAAATAGAATTCTATGCAAATTCAGGTGTCTAAGGTTAGTGCTGTCACAGATCCTTATTTTAGGGTGAAGTTGCTTTACTATTATACTTGCCTTTTTATTATATGAAATTATCAAATGCCCACAGGCAGCTCTATTCTGGGTGCCAATAATTAGAAGGGCAGGCCGGGCACTGTGGCTCACGCCTATAATCCCAGCACTTTGAGAGGCCGAGGTGGGCAGATCATCTGAGGTCGGGAGTTCGAGACCAGCCTGACCAACATGGAGAAACCTCGTCTCTACTGAAAATACAGAATTAGCTGGGCATAGTGGCTCGCGCCTATAATCTGAGCTGCCTGGGAGACTGAGGCAGGATAATTGCTTGAACCCAGGAGGCGGAGGTTGTGGTGAGCCAAGATGGTGCCATTGTACTCCATCCTGGGCAACAAGAGCGAAACTCTATCACAAAGAAGAAAAAAAAAATTAGAAGGGCAAAATTAGATTTTTTTTTCAAGTTCCACTACCCCTCAGAAAATTATCTTGCCTTGAAATCTCTTAATGTGGAAGTGAACTGTAGGTCATTCTCAGTTGTTCCAACTAAAAAGGGATACAGGCAACGTGCGGTGCGAGAAACCATTCAGACAAAAGTTGTGCTTTTGCTTTCTTCATTCAGTATCCCATTTTATAAGACTAACTGACACGTTCCCTTTCTTCTGTGCTTTCCAGGGCTATTGTGGCGTTGGTGTACAATGTGTTGAAGGCATTTATGGAAATGAACAGCACCATGTTTGACGAGCTGACAGCCACATACAAGTCAGATCGTCAGCGGTAACTTTTTAAAGCTTTTTTGTCAGCTGTGCATAAAACTATTGAGTTTTTTCCTTGCTCTTTGCTGAAGTTGCCTAATTGTACCTCAAATCTTAAGCAGCACAGTTTTGTTTACAGTCATGCATTGCTTAACAACCAGTATATGTTCTGAGAAATGCATCCTGCGGCAATTGTATTGTGTGAACAGCATAAGTGTATAGTAATTACACAAACCTAGATGGTATAGCCTACTGTGACACACCTGAGCTGTATGGTATTGCCTGTTCTTCCTAGGCTACAATCCTGTACAGTGTGTTACCATGGTGAATACCGTAGCCAATTGTAACACAGATCACTAGGCAGTAGGACTTTTTCAACCCTGTTAAAATTTTATGGGACCACTGTGGTATATGTGGTCTGTGTTGACCGAAATGTTGTTATTTGGCACATGACTGTATTTATATATTCATTTTTGCACCCTTATTAACTGTGTCTTTATTACTGTGCCACTGAGTAACAAAGCTTTGTGACACTGTCCTTTTGATAAAGCCTGCTTTCCTCCCTTTCTTTAATAGTAGTTTAGTTCTGCCTCAGGGTTAAGAGCCCAGCATATAACTGGTATTTTAGGTTCACTTAAAGGGACCATCAGGTAGTTTTCTATCTGGGATTCACTCCCACTCTGAACTTACTTGAAGTGTAATTGGGCAGATCTTGTACTTCACTCCAATAGCAGGGGGAATGAGGCACCATTTTTCTAGCTCTTGGGCCCAGGACTTACTAGAACCCAACAAGTTTATTACAATTTAAAGAACAGTGAAAAGAACATGAAGGTTAATAGTCTGGTATTAACCAGAAATGTTTGAGACCATATGGGAGAACAAAACAGTGGAACTCTTTACAATACATGCTTATGGCTTACTAAAGCCTTTGTTGGTTTCATTTAGAGGATTCTTCAGTTTTGTTATATCTTGTCCAATGTGTTCTACTTTCCAAGAGATGTACTTGGGGAGATTATAGAACTCTAGGGAGCTCTTAGTAGTTGAGCCTCTGGTTTGACTTTGATCACCCATAAGCAGGTGTCAGCTTTGTATATCATAAAACTATGGACCTCAGAGGACCCAGAGGTGTGTGCGACTGTTCATACCCAGGGTCTTGCTGAACCTCTCTGGTTCCCGTGGTGCTTTGTCTCATTTTTAGTCTGTCACTTGGATTTTATTGATAAAAAAGAGCAATGAGGAGAACGGTTTGATGGCAGAGGGACCATTGCAATGATTTTCTTTTTTAAGTTACCAGGGATGTGGTTTATGAAAACCAACTTAATTATGGAATATGGTGAGTATTTAGCTGAGAATCTCACAAGCGGCTCAGATTTTGTACCCAGAATATTGGGATTAATATCAATTATGTGATATGTTATTCCACATGTACAGTTTAAACAACTTTTAATTCACTGTATTAGCAATTGTTGCAAATTATAAATTCATAATAACCCTCCTTGCCCCAAACTTAAAATCTTTAAAGGATGTTACTTAAAAAACAGGCCAAGGGTACATTTTAATACTGTGGTGTACCATTAAAGGTGCATTGTGCATAACATCTTCTCTTTTAGAGCAACTGAAAACTCATTATTATTATCCTAGTTGAACCAGGATTAAATTTGTAGAATCTCATCAAGAATATTGAAGAACTTGGCTGGGCACAGTGGCTCACACCAGTAATCGCAGCACTTTGGGAGGCTGAGGCAGGCGGATCATCTGAGGTCAGGAGTTTGAGACCATCCTGGTCAACATGGTGAAACTCTGTCTCTACTAAAAATATGAAAATTAGCCAGGCACAGTGGCATGTGCTTGTGGTCCCAGCTACTAGGGAGACCGAGCTGGGAAGGTCACTTGAACCCGGGAGGTAGAGGTTGAGGTGAGCTAAGATCACGCCACTGTACTCCACCTTGGACATTGGAGCGAGACTCTGTCTCAAAAAAAAAAAATATTGAAGAACTTATTTCTACTCAAATTATTTGGTTTGTATTTAGTGAACTTTAGTAATAAAACTATTTTCTGATTATTATCTGAACTAAATAGATCAAACCCTCAAAAAAGCTAAGAATTAACTAGGGGGACCAGGAATAGATAAAACTATGAGGTTGATTGTGATATTCTGGCATATTACAGTTATTTATAATGAGTGCACTTTCTTAATGAGAAAATGGGGGCCAGGCGTGGTGACTCACGCCTGTAATCCCAGCACTTTGGGAGGCCGAAGCGGGCAGATCACCTGAGGTTGGGAGTTCACAACCAGCCTGACCAACATGGAGAAACCCAATCTCTCCTACAAAGTACAAAATTAGCCAGGCATGGTGGCACATGCCTGTAATCCCAGCTACTCGGGAGGCTGAGGCAGGAGAGTCACTTGAACCCGGGAAGGGGAGGTTGCCATGAGCAGAGATTGTGCCATTGCACTTCAGCCTGGGCAGCAAGAGCGAAACTCCGTCTCAAAAAAAAAGGCTGGGTGCGGTGGCTCACGCCTGTAATCCCAGCACTTTGGGAGGCTGAGGCGGGTGGATCATGAGGTCAGGAGATCGAGACCATTCTGGCTAACACGATGAAACTCTGTCTCTACTAAAAATACAAAAAATTAGCTGGGCGTGGTGGCAGGCACCTGTAGTCTCAGCTACTTGGGAGGCTGAGGCAGGAGAATGGCGTGAACCTGGGAGGCAGAGCTTGCAGTGAGCCGAGATTGTACCACTGCACTCCAGCCTGGGTGACAGAGCAAGACTGTGTCTCAAAAAAAAAAAAAGAAAAAATGGGTTTTTAAAAGCAAGGATAATAATTTGTCAAATGAGCACTAGAAGGGTGTACTGACAGATGGAAGCACTGGTTTCTCCATAGGTGTGGGAATAGGACAAGAGAATGAAGAAATGTATTTGGTACTATCAGAGAATAACTGAATGGACAGTTTTACTTCAGGATGGCGAGAAGTTAATGGTTTCAGTTCAGATCAAATTTTGAAATATTACAAATCTGAAAATGGTGGGTGGAATAAGTAGTTAACACTGTTAGATACATATGCCAACATCAGTGCTATGTAAAATTGAAATTAGAAGAGAATTTGACAATATCCCCTGCATGACAGTGTGGTTAAGTGTTAAAATTTCCACCTACAGGGAGAGAGAAAAGTGGGAAAGATTGGGGGTGACAATAACTATATCAGCAATATTTAGAATTTTTAAAGATGAAGTTGTCAGTGTCAAAGCTGTGTTATGTGATATGCTTAGTTATGTGATAACTAAGCATAATGCTCAGTTGGAAGAAAAGCCCCACAGGATTAATTGCATTGATTACCATAAATCTCTTGATCAAAAACACAAAACACTTTGGTAACAAGATGATGAATGTTTTAATGATGTCAACACTTAATTAACCCATTTATGCCTAGTGTTCCATTATTGTAATGCTAAGCTTGTGGGAGTTATTTCTATCCCACTGCTCAAGGTCATCGCCAAGTTCTGATTTTTCACAAAAAAATTTTGCAACCTTTGGCATAAATTGGTTAAAACTGCAAATTAGGGCAATGTGAACCTGAAATACATTGAAATGTTTTTTAGTTGAGTAAAATTCCAAGCCCTTGCTTATCATCCCCTTCTCCCTCCAGATAAAAAGGTCATATTCATCGAAAGTCAGCAGGATCTATAGAATTGATTTATATATATCCAAATTGTGTTCTTTGCTAATATTTATTTAGTCCTTGTATTATCCCCAGACTGCACTTAGAAACAAAAAGTGATAATTTGCCAAACAGCTCGATTATGTTTAGAACCTGGAATGCACCAGGAGTGGTGGTGCACACCTGTAGTCCCAGCCACTCAGGAGGCTGAGGCAAGAGGATTGCTTGAGCCCAAGTGGTTGAGGCTACAGTGAGCTATGATTGTGCCACTGCACTTTAGCCTGGGCGACAGAATGAGACCCTGTCTCTAAGACAAAAAAAAGAAGAATCTGGAATCCGTAATGATTAGATTGGAGGATTATCTAATCTTGCCCTTACTGTCCTATAAGTGCCATTTTTTCAGGGTCAAAATTAACAAATAGGTAATTATATGAAAACTGTTCTGCTCACTGAAATTTATATTGTGCAGATTTGTATTTGAGATAGCTGAAACTAATTATGGTAAACAAGGCCTAAGTTATGAAAATATTACCTATTAAGTGATATTAATTACCATATGGCTTTAGTAAGCCATAAGCATGTATTGTAAAGAGTTCCACTGACTTGTGCTCCCATATGGTCTCAAACATTTCTGGTTAATACCAGACTATTATGGTATTATAATTCAACATTTCCTCAAGTCTGTAGTGGAATAAGAATATAAAATTACTTAGGTTTTTCTAGAGTTTTTTGGGAGTTGGAGGGGATGAAGATTAATCTCTATTGCTCTATTAATTAAAAGTTATTAATATACCTTTTAAAAACATTGGTTATAATGTTTTAAAAAATGAGGCATTGGAATTACATACAAATTTCACTCAACCCATGTGGATTTCCCTGAGTAGAAATTGTACTGTGGCTAAAGTTTTAATCCTTGCTGCGTGAGGTAGTGCATGGATTATATCCCCATGCCTGAGATCGTGGAGCCCCCCTTTTCAGGGATTATCTGAATTCCTGGATTTATGAATGTTAATCTGGGTCTGCCTTTTTTTTTTTTTTTTTTATTTTGTTTTGTTTTGTTTTGTTTGAGATGGAGTTTTGCCCTGTCGCTCAGGCTGGTGTGCAGTGGCGTGATCTCGGCTCACTGCAAGCTCCGCCTCCCGGGTTTATGCCATTCTCCTGCCTCAGCCTCCCAAGTAGCTGGGACTACAGGCGCCCGCCACCACACCTGGCTAAGTTTTTTGTATTTTTAGTAGAGACGGGGTTTCACCGTGTTAGCCAGGATGGTCTCGATCTCCTGACCTCGTGATCTGCCCGCCTCGGCCTCCCAAAGTGCTGGGATTACAGGCATGAGCCACTGCACCAGGCCTTTTTTTTTTTTTTTTTTGAGATGGAGTCTCGCTCTGTCACCCAGGCTAGAGTGCAGTGGTGCTATCTCAGCTCGCTGTAACCTCTGCGTCCTGGGTTCAAGCGATTCTCCTGCCTCAGCCTCCTGAGTAGCTGAGACTACAAGCACACGCCACAATGCCCAGCTAATTTTTGTATTTTTAGTAGAGACGGGATCTCACCATTGCTGGCTAGGCTGGTCTCGAAATTCTGACCTCGTGATCCACCTGCCTCGGCCTCCCAAAGTGTTAGGATTACAGGCATGAGCCACTGTGCCCAGCCTGGGTCTGCTTTTTATTGGTCCACTGCAACATGGAAAAACCAGAGACAGTGCAGTGAATTATTTTTAATAAATGTGAATGCATTTAACTTAGAATATAGTCTTACATTCCTGCATCATGTACTTCCTAACTGGTTGATGTTTAAAAAATACCTATTTTTGTAAAAATGTGGTTAATTTTTTAAAAACATATCCTTGGCAAAATAAAGTTTGTCGATTCTTACTTGGCATCCAATTTTTGGGGAAATTTTACCAACAGGGAAATCCCAAAAGTCTGAAAATCATAAAATCTATAAAATCAGTACAAATTGATATTGAACCCAATTTGAAGGCTTTGAATGCATTAAAATTTAATACATAATAATATCACACCAATTCTTTTCACATCATTAAAAGTGAACTCAAAGTTTTCAGTTTCTTCTAAACTGGCTGAAGAATTCTAAATGTACAATGAGCGGGTCGAAACAATAGATATGAATAAAGGAGCCAGTATACTTTTCTTGACCTATATATGTCTCTGTATCAGTGTATCTCCAGCGATCCCTTTTTTTTTTTTTTTTTTTTTTTTGCAGAACGGAGTCTCGTCTCTGTAGCCCGGGCTGGATGCAGGTGCGGATCTCAGCTCACTGCAAGCTCCCGCCTCCCCGGGGTTACGCCATTCTCCTGCCTCAGCCTCGCCCGAGTAGCGGCAGCTACAGGGTGCCCGCACTCGCCCCTGAGCTAATTTTTGGTCTATCTTTTCTAGTAGAGACGGGTTTCACGGCTGTGACCAGGATGGTCCTCGGAGACTCCTGCACTCGTAGATCCGCCCGTCTGGCCGTCCCCAAATGCGGGAGATCTAGCAGGCCTTGCTGAGCCACCGCGCCCGGCCTCCAGCATCCTTTTTGGTAAACTATTTGGAGATAAACAAGAATTAAGATTTTTACTAAGCTGCAAGTGAAAATCACTAATATGCCCTTAATTTTACAATAACTGATGCATATAAGTCATTCCCATTTTTGTTTCTTAGTAGTTTTAAAGTTAATTTTCTGAATTAAGCTAAGTATAAAGGGGCGTCAAGGTGAAATTGTAAAATATTCATTGTTGCATAATCTCATTAAACCTCAGCTGTTTACATTGTATTGTATTTCTTCCTCAGTGAGAAAAAGAAAGAAAAGGAGCGTGAAGAATTGTGGAAAAAATTGGAGGATCTGGAGTTAAAGAGAGGTCTTAGACGTGATGGAATAATTCCAACTTAACAAAAACAATGACAACGACATTACTAACCTGTGGAGTCACACATTTATGTAGTAGAAGATGGAGCAACAGTTTTCTGTATTGTGCAACTTTACAGTAGATTTCACATTTGTTTCATTATTACAACAGCACTGTATATACCTGTCTCTAAGTAAAGGAAAAAACAAAATAAGGACTTCAATCCAAAGTTTGGACAGTAGATGGACTTCTCAGAACTTTGCAAACATAATCATTGTTCTAACCCTCTTTTAAAAAAAAAAATCGGTCTTCAAAGATCTGTTGATGAAATTGCTATGTTAAAATTCCATTATCGGGAGTTCCTTATTTATCACTAGCAGAGAGTATGATACAATTTTCAAATGTGAACAATCTTAAATTTAGCTTGTCTTTCTGCTAAGCTGTTAAATGTATTTATAGTAAAGGAAGAAAAAAAGACTGTCATTTCCTTATAAGTTTGTGTAACATCCTCCTCTGGATAACTTGACTGTAATTTGACATCTTTTTCTTTTGCACATCTTCCTGAGTTGAATGTCCATGTGGAATGGGGTCATGAATTATAAAGGTCCCTGATAAAAGTTCTGTTTACTGGGGTGAACATCTTTCCAGTAACCAGGTAGTCCTGGTACTCCTTCAGTTTTAAAATTAGGAGTTAAAAGAGAAGAGGTGATAAACATAGTAGGGAAGGGAATATTGGATTCATGCATCAGTTTATGGTGAATCCAAATCAATGTCTTGAATCCTTTGAAAACAGGCACTGGGACATCACAGACTTCAGTACCTGACCAGTATTAGTTGCATATATCATTGAACACACATACCAGAGATGTTTTAGAAATGCGAGAAAAACATCCTTTTGGACCATTTGAAATAAGAAAGACAAACACTAAACAATACAACCATGAAATTGATCGCCAGGATTGCAAATCTAATTGGGAAAAGAGTTGAGCAAACAGCTTGGACTGTTTGGAGTTGTTGCCTTACTTTTTAATATGTATTTATAAAGTATTCCAGCAAAAGAGGATGTAGCCTCTGGGAAAAAAACATGTTACAGTGTTTTTTGTAGATTCTCGTTCTATATCTCATCACAGCGCCAGCCCTGTTTTTAGCCGGAAAGGATTCAGGATAAACATTATTATGCATTCTGAATTGGATGCATATTCCTAACTACTGTATTTGTTACCAAAAGTGGTTCTACAAATGCTACTGAAAAAAAATCTGGAAATTCCTAATGTCCTGAGTATTAATAATAAAGTTTAAAAAATGCTTTTATATCAAAGGTGCATCGTGACCAAATTGTTTAAGAAAAACAAACAAACAAAATCTAGGGCTGTATTATATATATATATATATATATATTATTGGCTCTCTGCTTTGTATTTAAATGAAGAATCTTACATCTTGGGTAGGCAAACTGCTGATAAAACTTGTGTACAGTATGTACTTACCTAATGCAGTTGAATTATTATGTACTGAAAGATATGTGTTTGGGGGTTTATTTCCAGGATGCTTTTGCTTGTTATGGACATGGCAGCAGTGAGTTGGTAATCCTAAACCATCACTTCCAGCAGTATTCATGGAATAGAGCTGATTCTGTGTTCATGTGTTGAATTGTGATAGTAGCAAACATGAACATTTGAACTATTGTTGCTCTTAATAGAAATACAATATAAATATGGGCTTGTATATTTTCTTCCTTACATTTGAATATAAAGTAGAATATGTAGTTCTATTATTTTCAAGAAAAAGGAAGAAAAACTGCTGACCTTTCTCCCCCATAAAGTTTTTCAGGATGATCAGGTCACAGTGTGTATGTAAGAGTCAGCTAATTATGGATATTGTCATCTGGGTAACTTTGTAAAAAAACAAAAACAAAATTGGCATTGTTAATTCCAAAAAAAACCCCCAAAAAACCAGCAGTTAAAAAAAAAGTCATACCCAACCCAAGACACAACATGGTTTAATGGAATTAATAGATTTAAAAAAAAAAAAAAAGAACATTGATGGGGATTCACTGTAAGGTTGGCAGAGGCTGCCAAAGACAAAACAACTGACTTTAAAAATGCTGGAACAAAGTGATAAAAAATAAATTTTTAACAAATCTTCTCCTTTTTAGCCCTTGTCATTTTAGCCCTTTAGTTTCCACTTTGCATTATATTTATTTTTGATAGTATAAACTTTTGTTTGCCATTAATTCATCTTTTTAGGTAGAAGACATTAAAATCGCAGGTTTATGAAGAATCTCTGCCCATTGGGATGAAATGCAGTCATTTGAAATGAGAAAGGCCAGGATCCTTTTTTGCACCTTACCCTGTCTTCAAGAGGAAAGGTGAACACTTCCAGCTATCCTCCTTGATGTCAATTTTGTATGTTGATCATTCCAAACTGAGAAGAATAAAATTTTAGACATATTTAGAGAATCAATTAAGCTATATGTCTAAAGTTCATAGGGCAACTTCTGAGAAGAAACACTGTCTTTTTCTTTTTTAATGGAAAGTGACAATGTGACATAGTCACGTTGTGTGCGGTGACGCAGAGTAACTGAGGTAATCTGACTGTTGCACTATGTGACATATTTCAGGACGTACTTGCTGCATTTGCAGCAGCCCTCTCTCTCCGTCCCTTCCCACAATTCTGCTGTTGCTGCAACTTGAGTTAATTGTGACAAACGCATCTTTGTGTTATATTTTGTTTGCTTCATAATTTCCAGAACTATATATAAATATATTTTTAAAATAGCAAATATTGTAGTTAGCGAGTGATGATCACTCCAACCTTATCCTTACCATATGGGTTTCAGGGATAGGATTAAGAGTGTCTTTGGAAGAGAAAAGTACAAACAACCCTGTGGTTTAGAATGATGCTGAGGCCTTAGGCTGTGGGCCTAGAACAACTATGTGAGTGAATTCACCCATCTCATGCTTTGAATCAAGCATGCATTCCTTTTTCTCATTGTGCAAGTATCTTACCCCAGTTGTTTTCCTTCAGTGTTGAGTTTTTGTCCTTTTAAATTTTATTGTATTTTGCTCTCCCTAACATTTGACTGTTTTTTATAAAAGAAAAGAAAAAATAATAAAAAAAAAAAAAGAAAGAAATAATACCCTTGATGCCGCTGGATACTCACAAGCAGGGTTATGCTCCTTTATCTTAGGCTTGTTTGCCTAAATGAAAGGGTTTAATTTATTTTGTACCTCCTATGCGTGGGATAGTCCAGGGTGCAGAGCCAGGACTTGCTTGTAATTGCACCTGCTATACTTAAATGTATAGCCCTAGGCTCAATCACACTATGGAAAGAAACAAAAAAAGTATATTTAGAGCTTTAAAAGCTTTTTTATTTTTTTGTGGGGATGAGGGTGGGATGGGAAAGGGATGTATGGATGTTACTGGCATTTTTAAGTGTTTTAGAGTTTTTTGGGGTTTGGGGTGGTTTTTTTTCCTTGTTTTCCTTTTTTCCTTTTAATTGGATGCACTGACCTGGCCCAGGAAATGAAGAGATTCTCTTTTGATGCTATTACCAATGTTATCATAAAGTGACAGTCACCTGTAACAAAAAGGTGGCACCAGACATGATCACTGATGTTTTATTTGCACATCAATATTTTTATTTTTGTATTCTGGCTCAGCTGCTTCTCTGAGTGGAGTTAAGGAATGAGCCACAAAGGATTTTTGTAGTAGGTATATTGGCATTGCATTTTATATTCCTCTATATTTAATTTTTAAAATCTAAAAGAAGGATTGTGCATCTTGAGAGAAAGTTGAGCAAATTGTGATCTAGCGGAATGTTAATTTGTGCTGCTTCTTGTGCACGATAGCAGCAGTAGTATCTCTTGGAAATAAACATCCCATATTATGATGTCTATGAATATAGGTTTCCTTTTCTTCCTTCCCTCCCTCCTTCCCCCACCTTTCTCTTTTTTTTCTCTCTCAGCCTCTCCTTTCCTCCCTCCCTCTTCCCTTCCTCTTTCTTTACTTTTTTTGAAATCACTTATTGTAAATAAGTTGTAATCCAAACCTCATGTATCAATGGGGAACTTTCAAATATAAATATTACCAATGCATTTTCTGGTTGTTGTCTGATTTTTGATTGAAATATAATGAGAATGACATGTCTGTTGCTTTTGGTTTGAGGACTTCACTTTAGCTTCATAAATCTTTTGGTATTTTAGTATTTCATTGTTTTAGCAGGAGAGGGCAGCAAAAGTTCATTTTCCCTGTTAGTAATGCTGTGGTTCATGATCGGTTTTAAATTTAGCTGTGTGTGCGTTTTTTTAAACAGCATCTCTTTGTGAGTAGAGGTAAAAATGAAACATTTTTGATATGAAAAGTTGCATATGAAAATTATAGACTGGTTCAACCAGACAGTGAAGACTTCTGATCCACCTCAAACGTAAAATGCCACAAAACAATCTTCCACCTCTGGCTAAAACATGCTACTTCCTTTTCAAACACCATAAAATACAAGCTGAGTCTTAAACACTTGGAATTTAAAATGTTCTTCTTTGGAAATGATTTGCTTTCTTCACAGTGGTAACAGAAACAAAAACGAAGGTGCTCCCCAAAAAGAAATGTAACCTTCCCCTTTCACAGATGTGTGAGAGGTTCTGTACTGTGGGTGCATCATAATAAAGAAGCAGTGAAGAGTTTTCAGGTGCCTGACTGTTTTTGTTTGTTTGTTTCTGAACTCCGTGGCCTTTTGAACCATACAAATACTAGATTTGATTGACTTAGCTTTGAGGCAGTGGGGTTGGTATGTTCAGGCTTTCATTTTGAGAAGTCAGTTTATGATTATGAGTATGTAATATTGGGAAATGGTCCAGTATCTATTGCTGTATAACATACTACTCCAAAAGTAGCAGCTTAGAAGAACAACAATTTATTCTCATCACAAATCTATAGTTTGGGAAGGACTTAGCGAGAACATCTTGTCTCTGATCCTCGAGTGTCAACCAGGGTGTCACAGGTGGGGCAGGAATCTTCACTTCCAACATGACTCACTTACATGGTTGACAAGTTAGTGCTGACAGTTGGCTTGGAGTTCAGCCAGGGGTCTCAGTTCTTCCTCACAGTACTTTCTTCTTGGGCTTCCTCACAGCATGGCAGCTGGGTTCTAGGAGGCAGGAAGTGAAAACTGCCTCTTCTTTGAGGCCTGGGCTCGGAAACTATCATGGCATCACCTCCATCATATTCTATTGGTCAGGCGGTCACAGAGCCTGCTCAGATTCAAGTGGAGGGGACATAGTCCTCACTGTGAATCAATGAGAAGTGTTTTCAGTAATTTGCAGTTATCTGTAAGCTACCATAGGATAGTTTTTTTTTTTAAGTAAAGTATTTGATTTAGGTGTGATCTACTCCCTTAGCTAATTAAATTACATCAAATTTGGAACCATGTGGAATTAACCAATTTATATTTCATATTAAAATTAATCAGTTTGGAAAGGAAAAGCCCTTGTAAATGTCAGCAATTTTGTATTTCAAAGCATAACCACTTGTAGCACCTGAAGATCACCTCCTGGTAAGTTAGAAGAAACTTGTAACAAAAAATTTTAGGGTTTAAGAGACTTAAGAGATGATTTTAAGAAAATATCTAATTCTTTGCATAATGTTGCTTCCTGTCTATAAATATTTACAAGAATGGAGGCAAAATAAATGTACAATAAAGATACAGATTTTTATATAAGTAGTATGTCTATTAGTAATGTTTCTATTAGATTAAGTTTACATTATGCTTTTAAATTTTTTTAAGGGAGACCAAAGTATGTGATAGTTAAAGGGGAATTAGTTTGACTTTTTTTTAAATGATAGTATTGCTTTTTTATTATTAGGCACGCACTTTTTGTGGACCACTGGAAACATGAGTAGATAAACATTTATTGCCTCTCAGCCAAGTGAGAGAACCTCTGGATAGATTCTTAATTTTATTATTTAAAAAAATCAATGAGATTATTAGCCTTATTAAACACATGGGGAAATTGAGACTCACAAATTAAATAATGGGTCCAAATGTACATGATTGATTCATCTATGATGCATGTTCATACACATTCTCAGAAAGGCAGAATTATTTGCTTTTATGATTGTTTTTTGTGACCTAAGAAACCATTCTTCCCCCGTTTTCCTATCCCAGGCCGAAAAACATTCTCTTACGTTTTTCTGTAAGAGCTTTATAATTTTAGCTTTTATATTGAGGTCTGTGATTCATCTTGGATTATTTTCTTATGTGTAGGTTGTAAAATAGGAATCTAGATGCAGTTTTTCCATGTGGATTCTCAGTTATTGTGGGGCCAGTTGTTGAAAAGTCTCCCAAAGAACGGCTTTCTTGTCAAAACGCTACCTTAAAAGTGTGTATCTAAGTCTGAGTTCTCTTTTCTGTTCTAATGGTTGATATTTTTATCCTTATGCCAGAACCACACTGTCATGATTGCTGTAGCTTTATAATAGTCTTGAATCAAGTTGTCTTTCAGTTTTGTATTTTTCAAAATTGCTCTCAGTATTCTAAGTCCTTTGCATTTCTACATAAAATTTAGAAGCAGCATGTAAAAAAAAAAAAAAAAAAGCCTGGGTAGGAGTATGATTGGGGTTACATGAGGGCTGTGCTCTCATGAATGAATTGATGCCATTACTGGAGACTGGGGGTGGGTTTGTTATTACAGGGAGTGGGTTCATTGTATTTAATAAAAGGGTGAGTTTGGTTCTCTCTCTCTTCTCCCTCTCTCTCTCTCTCCCTCCCTCCCTCCCTCTCCTCTCCTCCCCCTTATACCTCCCCATCTTGCCTTCCATCTTGGGATGAAAAGCAGGAAGGTCCTTGCCAGATGCCAGCACCTTGATATTGGACTTCCCAGCCTCCAGAACTGTGAGAAATAAATTTCTTTATAAGTTACCCAGTCTCTGGTATTCTGTTATAACAGCACAAAATGTACTAAGACATAATCCATAAACATGGTATTGCTCTTCATTTAGTCTTAATTAAATGTGTTGTTAGCCGTAGATTTTTCCTAGATGCCTTTTATCAGATTGAGGAGGTACCTTTTTATTTCTAGTTTGCTGAGAGTTTTTATCATGAAGAATGTTATTTGTTAAATGCTTTTTAAATATATTAAAATGATATGATTTTTTTATTGTGCTTAATTGCATTAAATTTCTGGGATAAACTATCTGTGTAGGTTGTAAGATGGGAATATAGATCTCTGTGTGTGTGTGTGTGTGTGTGTGTGTGTGTATCATTGAACTTAAATCTCTAAATTTATAATCTTTCATGATATTTGTGGTAAGTTTCTAGTCAAATATTTGAAGAATTATTTTTCATATATTCTCTCTGCCCCATTCTTTCTATTGTCTTCTTCTGTGACACTAATTCTTTATTAACTTTTTGGTATTGTACTATAGGTCACAGAGGTACTGTTGATTACAAATTGTTTTTAATTGAGATGAAATTCACATAGTAAAAGTAGCCATTTTATAATGTACGATTTACTGGCATTTGATATATTCACAATACTGTGCAACCATCATTTCTATCTAGTTCAAAGTATTTTCGTCCCCCTAAAAGCAAACACAGTACCCGTGAGGCAGTCACTTCCTATTCTTCTCTCAGCCCCTGGCAACCACTAATCTGCTCTCTGCCTTTATGGATTTACCTATTCTGGATATTTCATATCAATAGAATCATATAATATGTGACCTTTTGTGTCTGACTTCTTTCACTTAGAATAATATTTTTGAGGTTCATTTATGTTGTAGCATGTATCAGTACTTCATTCTTTTTAATGGCTGAATAACCTGTCATATGGATATACCACATCTCTTTATTCACTTATCAGTTTATGTGCATTTAGGTTATTTTTACTGTATGGCTCTTATAAATAGTGCTTCTAGGAACATTCATTTTAGTTTTTGTTTGAATACCTATTTTTAATTCTTTTGGCTAATTCTTTAATTCTTTTTGGTAATTGTAGAATTGCTGTTTCACTTTTTGAGAAACTGTCAAACTTTTTCACAGCAGCTGCATTATTTTACATTCTTGCCAGCAGAGGGTTCTAATCGCTCCACATCCATGCCAGGACTCGTTTTCTCATTGTGGTTATTGTCATCTTAGTGGGTGTGCCATGTTCTTTCTTAAAGAGTGTCTTTTTTTTTTCAGTGTTCTTTAAATTAGATAACTTACTGATTTATCTTTAAGTTCACTGGTTGTTTCCTGTCATCTTTATTTGCTGTTAAACCCATACAGTACTTTTTTTCTTTTAGACATTGCATTTTTTACCTTAGAATTTCTACTTGGTTCATTTTTATAGTTTCTCTTTCTCTGTTGAGATTGCCTATCTCATCATTCACTGTATCTCTTAACATCACTGAGCATAATTAGAATATTTGTTATAAATTTCTTGTTTGCAAATTCCAACATCTCAGGATCTGTTTTTAAGTCTTTTTCTTGAGAATTTGTCACATTTTCCTGTTTTTTCATAGGTCAAGCAATTTTGGATCCTGTCCTGGTTATATTGAATATTATGTTATGGGAACTTTGTATTCTGTAGTATTCCTCTGAAGAATTTTGATTATTTTGTTTTAGCAAACAATTAACTTGGAAGGACTCAAACTGCCACCTCCTTTGGGGCAGCAGCTGAAGCTCAAATCTCAGTTCAATTATTTTATCCTTCCCTGCAGTTTGTTCTGTGTATGCAAGGGCCGGGTTAGCCATAGATTTGGGCTGAGTTATATGCAGGATTTGGTTTGCTCTTTTCTGAGTCTCTCTTTTGTGGGGTATACCCTCACTCCCAGTGTCTATGGTTGCCCTGAACTCTCTCTTCTGATTCTTCAGACTAGAAAGACAGTTTTTCTGTTGGTGTTCTACCTCACGTAGTGTTGACTCTCAGCCTAAAACTCATAAACATGGAAACCTTACCCAATATCATCCTTTTCTTCCTGAGTTGACTTCCCTCCAGAATATGCTTTTCAGGGCTTTCTAGTTGCTTTCCTTCCTTTGTATTTTGCACTTTATTCTTTGTATTTTGGCTAGATTTTATCATGTTTATCTGCAAGAGGAGGTTTAGTAGGATTTCAATCAGATATTCTGAAAGCAGATTTTCCCTCAAAGGTTATGTTATGGAGAACCGTAGCTTTTTCCCCTGACACATATCTATTCTGCATATCAGGCATCATGCTAAGTCAAGATTATTATAGTTTCCCACATATCAGCCATTTACATATCACTGTCACGAATTTTGCCATAAACAGTTGACTCTTCAACAACATGGGCATTAGGGGCATTGACTCCCCTCACAGCTGAAAATCTTTTGACTCCCCAAGAGCTTAACTGCTAATAGCCTACTGACCAGAAGCTTTACCAGTAACATAAAAAGTCAGCTAACATATGTTGTGTATGTTTGCAAGTTTTGTATGTTATATGTATTATATACTGCATTCTTACAATAAAGTAAGCTATAGAAAAGAAAATGTTATTTAGAAAATCATAAGGAGAGTATGTTTACTGTTCACTAAGTGGAAATGGATTAGCATAAAGGCCTTCATCCTTGTCATCTTCACGCTGAGTAGGCTGAGGAGGAGGAGGAAGAGGAGGGATTGGTCTTGCTGTCTCAGGGGTGGCAGGGGCAGAAGTAAATCCATGTATAAGTGCTATTCAAACCCATGTTGTTCAGTGGTGATATGTACTGTGTTTTACTTGTAACTTAGCTTATTTAAAAATGACTCATTTTAATTCAAATTTATTTGTTTTTTAAACTTTTTATTTTTAGATAATTTTTGACTTAAGGAAGTGTTGAAAAATAGTACCAGGAATTCCTGAGTACCCTACTTCCTCCTCAACTTCCCCTTGTGTTAACATCTTCTATAACCATAGAACACTTATCGTTGGTACAATTATCTTAGATAAAGTACTATTAACTAAAATACAGAACTTATTCCAATTTCACCAGTCTTTCCTTTAATGCCCTTTTTGTCTTTCAGAATTCAGTCCAGACTCCACATTATATGTTATGTCTCCTTGGTCTTTTCCAATCTGTGACAGTTCCACAGTCTTTCCCTAAATTCCACAACTGATAATTTTGTACTTTTCCAGTGGATTTTCAGAAAGCCCCTCAATTTGGGTTTTTCTGATATTTTCTCATGATTAGATTGCAGTGAATACATTGTTTGGAAAGGCATTTCAGAGATGATATTCCTCTTTTAGTGCATGATATCGGGGGTACATGTTGTTAGTGTGTATTACTGGTGATGTTAACCTTGATCATTTGGCTATGGTTCTGTTTAGAAGGACTTTGCCCCATAAAATTACTATTTTTCTTTTTATAATTACTAAATACTTTGGAGGAAATACTTAGAGACTATGTAAATGTCTATTTCTGCTCAAACTCTTGTCTGCTGATTTTTAGTACAGTGTTCTAATGGCAGTTTTCTATTTTCTCTCATTCCTAATACATTTATGAATTGAAATTCCTCTGTAAGGAAGAGTAGTTACTTCTTCCCCATTTATTTATTGCTTCACATATTTATATGTATGTGGACTTGTGGATTTAATTTTATCCTTTGGGTTATAATCCAGTACTCTTATTATTTTAAGTTGTTCCATTGGGAGCTTTTTCAGGTTGGCTCCCCTGACCTTTTGATATGTGCAACCCACTCCACACACACGCCTGTCTTTTTTAAAGCACTTTCTTTCTTTCTGGCACCACTACATGCTTCAGGCTTATTTTACATTTTTCCTGCCCTAGCCCCAGGAACAACCAGTTCTTTAGTGAATCTTGCCTTCTTTTATTAGAGAATGGTATTTAGAAACCAAGATCTGGATGCTGGATGTGTTCATTGCTACTGTTTCTAGCCCCTCCCAGAAATCCTAGAGATTTCTAGAATATATATGTATGTACACTACTGCATACATACATCTGTATTTCCATATTTATCTGCATATATTTCAAAAAACATGAATACATTATTAAGACCTCCAACTCTAATCCAGCACCACAGAGTTCATTCTAGCTTCTCCCTTTCCTTATTTGTAACTCCCTTCTCCAACAGTGATAAAACTGGTAATATGATCTGTAATATATTTACTTATTTGTTCAACTTTCATATACAAGTAAGGTAGTTTCAGAGTTCTTAACCAATACCTGTATAAGAAACAAATTTACCAACTATAGTACAGCATCTGTATACAGTTCTTTTTGTCTTTAGCTTCACAGTATTCATTTAAAGCACTGCTTTCCACAGCAATTTAGGTCAACTCCTTTCTTCCCCATCCACTTCAGTGTGGTTATTATAATTAATTTGTAATAAAGTTAGTCATTTGTCATAGTCTTCTTTTTGTCTTTTCCTTCAAATCTTGATTGATTTAAAAAACATTAAATATAGCACAATTTATTTCTTTGTCTTTTACAGTCCTGTGGTTTGGACAAATGCATAGAACCTGGTATCTACCACCACAGTTCCATGTGGAAGAGTTCCAGTGCCCCTCAAAACTTCCTCATGCTCCTCCTTTATAGACAGTTCCTCTTGTCAGCCCAAGTCATAGGAACCACTAATCTATTTTCCTCCCTATGGTTTTGC